CGATCCGAAATCAATAGGTGTGAGAAATTGGACAATTCAAGTTCAACGGCAGTTCGTTCCTAATTGGAGTGGTTGGTGTATTCTATACTTCTAGCGATTGGATTTCACTCAACACTCACCAAATGACTCCTCCCACCATATTGTTAGAAATGTGCTCTAAGAGCCAATACATTTGATGTAATCTCCTTAGAATACATTTCGTATATGATAAATAAAGGGCAATATTATTTTGTTATCTTTTATGTCGTGTAAAGAAACAAAAGTCCAGGGTGTACTAAATAAGAGATAAAGTAATCTAAAGAAGTTTAGATTCGGGAGACCTTTAATCTCTAACTGTAGCGTCCCAAAATGTTCCTAATCATAGGTTATCAAGTGGGCCTTGATAAACCGTCAAGATTAGCACATATTATGTATGCTTAATTGGGAGGATGGTTAGTCTCAAACCATTTGTGTAGTTGACACTAATACAAGTATGTGGGTGCTCATTAGTGAATGAGTACACTGAACGCGATCAACCGTAGTTCTCATATGGAGTATTTATCTATATGTCAAATGAGAACTCATAGTTGCAATAATGCAAATTAGTCTTTAGACCTGAGGCATCATGGTTGTCCTGTGATGCGTTATTTATCTTTGATAGCTCTTAAAGGCAAGCCGTAAAAGGTTTGTCTTAAGTGTTGTTGGGATCTCTTAATTCATTATAGGGGCATGTGAATGTACAATAAGGAATCTCTACTTTCGATAAAGAAGGAGAATGTTTCAAGATGTGATTCAGTAAATCTTTGGCCAAAGTATTTTGAGCTTGATTTAGAAAGTTGTTCTTAATCATGTTCTTTTGAATCACATGAGGTTATAAATCATATTAGGGGTTTGACATAATCAATCCGTACTCTAATAATATGATTTGAAACATTGTATAAGAGAAGGACCGTATTGCATTGCAATTCCAACTAAATAGGTTCTTTATCTATTCTGGTTAGCTTGGGTAGCCTTGATATATTGCTAGATGTCACTCTTGGCTTGTGGAAGTCCTAGGATTGATTGTGATCGATCCAAATAAAGGAAGAATTAAAAAGGGGTTTTAATTCCAGTTGGTTAGAAAGAGTTCTAATATTTTCCCACTGCCTTGCTAATTAGAACCTAATGGATCGCACACCTTAAATGGTTAACTTTGAGTAATACAAATGAGAATGAGGAAATCAATTTGATTGATTTGATGTGGATGATTTACTACGTGTAAAAACGTATTTGGGCCTCGGTAATAGTTAACGGGAAGCCCAAATGGTTGGGTATTAAGCCCAAGGGCTTAAGACACCTAAATATTATTGTTTAAGTGTCATAAGGCCCAATTTTGGAAGCCCAATGGGGTTTGGCCGAAAATGGTTAAGTGAATGTGTATGGGAATTGTTTCTATAAGCTCATTAACACACAAACACAATCCAAGATCAACCAAATAGGTTTGGGAGATCAAAGAGAGAAAAATGATAGTTTTCAAGAGTGAAACACTTTCATCTTTCATAGTGGTTTAGATTGAAACCAATCTTGAGAATCTTGCACTAGCATCCAAGTATTCTCAAGATACTTATTCTCATCTCAAGGTTCCATTGGTGTGGAGACTTAGAGGCCACATATTTTTGTGGCTCACATGGAGGAGAAAGATCATGGAGCAAAGATTAAAGATCAAAGAGGAGATCAACAAAGAGGAAATCATCAAGAGAAGACCAAACACAAATTGGTTCATATAATTGCTTCAAGGGTAATTAGATCTTATCCTTTCTCTTGAATTTTCATTTATGAAAAACATATCAATGTTCATGGCTTAAGATACTTGGAAGAAAGTTTTGTTTTTTGAATTTAAACAACCACCTTAGACTTCCGCTGCGATTAATTTGATTAAATGCATGTTTAATATTCAAATGAACTTTGGAAAAATGTTTTGAAATTCCTACAATGATGGTGCTAGTAATATGCGTGGTTCATGGAATGGACTACAAGCATTGTTTCTTCAAGATTGTCCATATGCATATTATGTGCATTGCTTTGCTCATCGCTTGCAATTAGCATTAAATGGCGCAGCTAAAGATGTGAAAGTTGTATGGAGATTTTTTTTAATGTTGACCAACATTGTGAATTTTATTAGTGCTTCTGCTAAGCGCTGTAATGAGTTAAACTTAATTCGAAAAGCTGAACTCAAAGAGTTGTTGGATTCTGGGGAACTTGAGACAGGTAAAGGACTTCATCAAGATCGTACTTTGAAACGAGCAAGAGCCACTCGTTGGGGCTCTCATTTTGCCTCTATTACAAGTTTGATGAGTTTATTTAAAGAGACTAAATTACTCCTTCTGGAAATCAGTGATCATGGACCTAACCAACAGTTTCGTGGCGATGCAGAGAGTAACTATATTGCTATGATGTCTTTTGAGTTTGTGTTTGCATTGGTTTTGATGGATAAAATTATGGGATTGACCAATTTTCTTTGTCAAGCATTTCAGACTAAAACTCAAGACATTGTAAGTGCTTTAAATTTTGTTGAAAACACAAAAATGCAACTTCAAGATATGAGGGAACATGGTTGGGATGATTTATTCATGAGTGTGGTATCATTTTGTGAACTACATGGTGTTGATGGTCCTGATATGGGTGCTCGTTATATGACGGGCACACGTCGTTCTTGTCAACAAAAAGATGTTATTACAATTGAGCATGCCTATCGCGTTGATGTATTTAATGATGTTATAGATTGCATGTTGAAGGAGTTAAATGATAGATTTCCGGAGCAAACAGTTGAACTTCTTACCCTTAGCTCCTCATTGGATCCTCGTAATTCCTTCAAGTCATTCAATATTGAGCATATATGTAAACTTGCCGAGAAATTCTATCCTGCTGATTTCCTTCCACATGAGTTGAAAGCTTTAGAAACAGAGCTCAGGTATTTTCAAAATGATATACATCACCTTCCTTGCTTTAAGGAAACCACTACCCTTTCTCAGTTATGTCAACAATTGGTGGAAACAACTTTGGCAGAAAACTACATTTTCCTTGACAGGTTGATTCGGTTGGTGTTGACTCTTCCTGTTTCTACAGCAACAACAGAACGAGCTTTGTCATGTATGAGAATTATTAAGAATCGACTTCGAAGCACCTTAGCTGATGAATTTCTTGCTGACTGTATGATCCTCCACATTGAAAGAGAGTTTGCTAATAATATCGATAATGCATCGATAATTGAGGAATTTAAGAGTTCCAAGCCTCGCAGGGTTAAATTTTAGATTTAAATAGTGTTGTTTTGTATTGCATTGCATTTACTTTTGATTTTAGTTTTAGATTTTGTATTTGTCGAACTTTTATTTATGGATAGAGATGCATTTGAGGGTAAGGCTCATTATGTCCCCCCTGACTAGGTGTATCTTTTTATGTTTATTAATTAAATTCACTCGTACCGTCGAGTTTAGTATGTAACTTTTGCCCAACTGGCTTTTTGATCCTGGAACCGCCACTGTTTGGACCAAGTATTGTAGGTTTTGGAAATTCTTGTTCAATTTTGGAACAAGTTTTGAAGGGTGTTGAGATTAGGTAACTCTCAATTTCATTTGACTTGGGAGTCTTCGACTGAGATTATTACTACCAAATACTTATATTATATAGCGAAAAAACAAATGCTTGTGTAACAAACTCGACATGAGGATGGGGTCAACAAACTCGACATAAAGCTACCGTCCATCAATATATTATTTGATGCGTTTATGCTAAGCAAGCATTGATATATATTTTCCTTCTCTCATTTTTTATATTAAAATCAAATTATTGTTTAACCAGAGTTTAAGCAATCCAAGAATAACATAAACAAACAACGGAAGGTCATTTGTGATGACACAATTTCCATTTAATAATGCAACATACATATTCAATATATATATGTGTCCATCAATACATAAGTTTTGAAAGCTCTTATTATAAAATAAATATATTAAAAAAAACTCATTTCATTGACGTAGGCTTTTCCAATGAGACAATTAGCAAATGCTTTTGTAATGCGGGGGACCCACATGGTTTTGACACTTTTGTCTCTCCACAAGAGGGAGAAAAACTTCCCTCACAGCGAGAAATTATAGAGTGATACTATATCACCACGTCAGCTGGTGATACTCCCACTCAAACTCTGCCACATATATATTTTTAAACAAAGTTAAAATATATTTTACTGTTGGACTTTGGCTACCAACTTTACCCTTCAACTTTAATCACCCAAACCCCTACCCACCGTCTTCTTCCCTACACTATGCCTGCTATCTGCGACACCACACGTCTTCCCTTCTCCCTCTCCACCTACCTCAGCCTTCACTGTCTTCGTAGTTAATGAATCTAAAGAACTTCTATTGTCAAAGGACTCAAAACCCATAAACAAAATCCGGTCAAACTCTACCATTTTATCTCTGGAGACGCCCTTGAAGCTAAATAAGATGGGTAATCTCTGAAAATTTCACTTCTTAATCTTTTAAAAAGACCTTGAATGAAAGCTGATAATGAAGATGGTGAGGAAGAAGAAGAATCCGATGTAGAAGGGGGAGATTTTTGGCGGATTTCCTTCATCAAGCCCCGCCCCAATGACTTGTTCTATAACACAATTAATTCCTGGTTGCCCATAACGTCAATCTTCCCTTATTTCACTAGTGGTTTTTTAATTTAATTTAATTTTATAAGATTTATGGTTTCATGTTTAACGGGTTTGCACATATTTTTAAGATTTTTGGCTTTTTTATTAATGGGTTTAACTTTTCACCGAAAATGAGAGGGAGAGAAAGAGGGGGTGGGAATATTGGAGGGGGAGGGAAGGCCGGGGTGGGTGGCTGAGAGGGGTAAGGGAAGAGGGTTGTGTGGCATCGATAGCAGGGGCATAGCACAGGGAAGCCGGAGGGGGGAGGGTTAAGGTCGTTAAAGTTGAAGGGTAAAGTTGTAAACCAAAGTCCAGTTGTAAAATATATATTAATTTTGTTTAAAAAAATACATGTGGCAGATTTTGAGTGGGAGTATCACCAGCTGACGTGGTGATACAGTATCACTCTATAATTTCTCCTCACAGGCGATTCAGCATTAGCCATCCACATCATTATCCCAATCCAATGAAATCGTGGTAGCTGCCAACCCCCTTACCCATTCCCGCCTCTTTTTTATTGAAATCTACTAATGCAAAATGTGCACAATTTGATTGAACATTTGTGAAATGTCATTGGTGCTGATTTCTTTTTCCTTTTATTATTTATGGCTTACTTTTCTTTATTATTATTATTTTTTTATTATCAAATCTCTTTGTAAAAGAGGCAAGACATTGGATTTATGGCATCACGCATAAAAAGAAGAACAAAATGAACAAAGCAGAGAAGTACCCTATTTTATTTTTTCCTTCTCATGTTCTGAATACATATACTTTCCTTATTATTTTTTTTGGAAGACAGAGACAAGTAGACTCAAAGGAGAACCAAAAATTAGTTAATTGGAAAGATTTTATGGATAATGGGGTGTTGCAATTTTGTGTATCTGTGCATTATACCCTTCAGAATACTGTTTGCTTAGAGGGCCAACACCAAAGCTATGATCTATCCCCTGCTATAAATGACTCGACTTCTGGACGTTAGTTATTCACTAAGAATTAACGGGTAAAAGAAGGGCTTCCATTAGAAGCTGCAGTTAGCTTGAAATTTTAAAATACACAAAGCCAAATTGGGTCAAGTTGGGGTAGTTCTCATTGGGAATGATACGCAGAGAGTCTGGAGTTCAGGGAAAGGATACAACATAACTTAAAATTCTAGTGAAAAGGAGCTCTAGGTCCAATTGCAAACAACTTGGAGTCTTCGACTGAGATCATTACTCCCTGATACTTTTGTTACCGAAAAAAAAAAACAACAACAAGAACCCAAATGCTTTTGTAAGGCGGATGACCCTACACGGTGTTAAAGTGAGTCTCCTAATTAATCAAGGAGATTTATTTCCTTGATTAATTAAGGGATTTACTTTCCTTATTTTAGATAGTTAACAAATCATTGTATAATTAGGAGATACTATCCTAATTGATTACTATATCTATTTCCTTGTAAAGCCCTCATGTAAATCCCTATATATACCTCCTTATGGAGAAGAATAAAAAAGAACCTAACATATTCAAACCCATATTCATATTTTAGCACACGGTTTCTTTGACACTGTTAAATTTCTGTCCTTAAACGAGCATTATTGAGGAGCATCATTTATATAAGAAGAGTCACATCACATCATCTATAAATAAGCATTGATCGTTTCCTTCTCTTTTTTCAGTTTGTCTTCTTTGGACATTGAAAAGCATTATCTCATTGCTGCTTTTATATGTTTACATACAACTAACACTATGTTGTAAAGATTAATAATTAAGTTGTTGATCATTTACTATATAACATGTTCTAATAGAGAAACGCTCAAGCGCCAAGGAGGAGACCTCCAATCCGCCAAGAATGGAGGATGATCTCCAATTCGCCAAGAATGTATGTATCCATTGGGATAGAGAAACGCTCACGTGTGAACCGATTAATAAATTAAAACAACTATAATAACTCATTTAGGCCCTTACATAAGAGACCGAATCAAAAATCGTTTTAACCATCGAATCTAGGACCATGGCTTTTCTTTGTGGAGGGTCGCCATTTTTGCTTACCAAACAACGTGGTAGGGTTTGAGACAGCAAATATGAATTATTTACTTTAAGATCCATCTTCCTCATAAGTATACAAACAAAAATACTCGCTATATCACATTTATATACCACTTTGTGTATCACATCTATTTCTATTAAAAAAAATGGTTTCGATTTCAATTTCATCTGCTTTTGTTTTGTGTTTGGGTTTCTGATATTTTGCAAGACAGATAGGAATTTATCTCTTTCGCTGCTCGGAGTCTTTTTGTATACGTGTCAAACACGTGTCGCTTTGAGTATCTTTCTTTGCTTCGTCGTTAAGCTTTTGTTTTCCTTTTTCTATTTACTCTTTTCTTTTTCTTTAATTCAAGCGTAGTATGTAAGCAAACAAAAACAAAAATAAAAACCCAAACCAACGGAGAAAAAAAATACTCTTTTTGTTCAGAACAAAAAAAACTTATGACATTTTAGGGTCTGTTTGGTATCTTATTTGGATTCAATTCTATAAATTGAAAAACAAATTTTAGGTCCAAAGCCACAAAAATCAATTTGGTAGGCCCATTTTTAAAAACTCAAACCCAAGAAAAACTCAAAAACACCCCATTATTAAAAATAAAAAATCATATATAATTTATAGTTTTTTTTTTCCTATCTCTTCTCCACGCTCTCTATCTCCTCCCTCTCTCGTCTCTCTCTCTCTCTCTGCCCTCCCCTGTCTCTCCATCTCTCTCCATCTCTCTCCTCCCTCTCCTATTTCTATCATTCTTCTTCCACTCTCTCTCTCTAAGCATGTCTAAACTTTTTTATGGTGTTCATTGAGGATGTCTAAAATTTTTAGTTCGAAAAAAGAAGAAGAATGTGGACTCAGGGGGGGCTGAGGGAATTTGTGTGTGGAAGCTAGGTGTGCCATAGTAGAAAGAGGAGGAGGAAGGAGGTAGAGGGAAGGGGGAATGGAGGAAGGGTATGTGAAGAGGGAAGGGGGAATGGATTTCAAGGTAGGCAAAGTTGGTTGGAGCTGCCAGTGGCACACAGGGATCGGGGAAGGCGATTTATTTATTTATTTCAAATTTAATTGTTTAAAAGATATACAATTTTTGTTATAATGAACTTGCCATGTTTAAAATACGAAAGACTAAAATACCCTTAAAATATATGGAAAATTGGATAATGTTAAAGTCAGACAATAAATCATGAATTTTGAAAAATTAAAGTGACATTTCTCTTAATTTTTTCTTTAAGGTGACAAATTGAAACTGAGGCATAAGTTCAGATGACATTTCTACAAATTGAACTGAGGTATGATTAGCATTTGTCTTAAAATTGTTGAGCATTAGCAAGCAAAACATACATTCACTCATGGAAATAAGAAAGAGAAGGTATAAAATAAAATCAGTGTCAAATTATTTCCATGCACAACTACTTTAATTTTTAAGTGCAAATAAAATGTGAGTGCGTGTTTATTTACTTGTTAACGCTCAAAAAATTTAAGAGATGTTATGATCAGTTGTGCATGTAGCATTCTACTTTTAATATCCCAACTCCAAAAATTTTAAGAGATGTTATGATCAGTTGTGCATGTAGCATTCTACTTTTAATATCCCAACTCCA